CTCTAAACTCCTTCAAATCCAGACTCAAAACCCTCTTCTTCAGAAAAGCCTTTACTTAACTGGTTTCATTCTTCACCCCTCGGCTTTTCTTAGTACCACCATCCACGGTCTCCTCTTTATAGTAATTGTGTTTTATCTTGTGTATTCTTCTTATTTATTGTTGTTGTCATCCTATAAAGCGCTTTGAGAAGCCACCTTTAAAGGCGCTATATAAAATAAAGTTTATTATTATTATTATGTTAAAGTATATTACAAAAATAAAATGGTATTTTGTTCATTAAACATTTGCACAATTACTCCTCTTCCTCTGTGTGATGTCTTGAAATAGTGAGGTTGAGAGAGACATACTCTTAGGTGGTCCCAACATGAATCATACACAGTTTCAGCATTTCACAAAAGAACAAGAGACATGCTTTTAAGAAATTTTAGTTTTTCACTGACACATTGCAGTTCCAAAAGACAACTGTTTTACTTTTTAGACAAACATCCCGCTAGACATGGAGAATCAAAGATGTGAAATATTTTTATACAGGCTTGCACACTGTACAGCGGCATAAAATAAAATAGAATTGTGCTTTTTAAACCAAAATTAGTACAGATATCCATGACACAATAGGATGAGTACACAGCAAATATAACACTGACTGATAATACCTTTGGGTTAGCTAACTAAAGTGCAGAAACGTTTTTGACTTTTTTCAGATTCCCACATTCTGTCAGTGTAACAATGAAGTGAAGCTACAGCTTACACATTTAAACTTCAGTACATTTAAATAATAAGAATCATATTTAACGACAGAAAATAAGACAACAGGAGGGCTGTGGGAATAAACGACTCAGCAATGTAGTTGAAACTGATACCTTGTCTCCTTTCAAACTATTCTTGCGGCGATTCTTAGATCAATTGTCAGTTGTAGCAATTCTATAAGATAGATGGGTCTTCTCTCGTGTGGAACCTTTGTTATGTTTCTTTTACAGCAACTAAATGTACAATTAACAGCATTAAGTTCTGGATGAAATCACAGTCCTGGAAATAGCTCTGGTTTTGACTTGCAGTGGTAACCATGAACACAGCAATAACATTCCAGCTTGTGGGCATACAGATACAGTAGGTATTTATCAAAGGGATGGATGGGGTTTTGAACAGAGGAACAATTAAGACTTGGTACACTATTATTGCTTTTGAGTTCAAAGACCAAAGAAATCATACTGAAATTTAATTTTAAATCAAATTAATTAAATATATTCAAGTTGCACCTGTTCAATCCCTCCTGTTCTTTTTATTTTACTAAAATCACTCACATCCCTTTATCTGTGAGATCAATTAATTCACAACTTCAAAGGTATTTCAAGAAATCAGACCATTTTCCTGATTTTCGATGAAACTGCCAGCATCAATTGAATTGCACTCCAACTGCGACATGAATGGAAGGTTCTAAAATGAACTGACTCCTATCATTCGTCTAATTTGTTCAAAGGTAAGCCAAAATGTCAAGGACCAGGGAGCCTGCAAGAGAAAGACAAGGAAAAATGAGCACCTGTTAGCAAAGAAAGTCATTAATTCAATTAGCGAGAAGAAATACGATATACCATTCTCATCCATGTGGGTATAAATCCTTTGTACAAAGATATGAATCCTTCGCCTTTCACAGATTGAATGAGGCAGTCAGTAGAAGATCTGTAGAGTAAACCCCTAGGAAACAGATACAGAAAAATAGGCTAGTTTCAGCAACCAGCAGTTTCTTAACTCTGCCATTGAACAGTGTATCGAAACCAATAAAAAGTATAAGTAGGTAGCTGTATCAGCATGCTTAGGCTGCAAAGGAATAGGTAAACGTTTATTCCGAGCTGAGAAGAAAAAAAGGAGGCAAAACGTTTTGGCTGTGGAGCCTTCTTTAGGTGTCAAGTTATCTTCAAGCCGAAACATTGTGTCTCTTTTCTTTTCAGCATGGAATAAACCTTTACCTGTTCCAATATAAAGTATGTTTTGAGAGATCATGGAAAC